ACTCGGCTCTATTCTCCATCCATCTCTTCATCCTCATCTCTCCACTTGTCTCTCCTCCTTCCTCCTCCTCTTCCTCCTCTGTCCGACCTAGTTACCAGGTGTTGACATATTGACGCGGCCCCTGTCAAAGCGACGGCCCTCAACCGGCCTTCACCTCAGAACGAAATCCTCCCTGGCAGCGGGTTGCTGTGGCAACCACGGTCCAACACACACACACACACAATCAGGTAGAGAAAGGAGGACACCCGCGGTGCCTTATCTCCACAGTGTGTGTGTTGTTTCTGTGTGTGTGTGTGTGTGTGTGTGTGTGTGTGTGTGTGTGTGTGTGTGTGGGATATGATAAGATAGCGATCCTCCACTTACAATATTTGCATCTGTTCCAACTGTCAGCGTTTACGCAGTCAAAGTGGAAACTTCCTGCGGTGGGAAGGCAAGAAAAATGTAAATATAACTGGGGGAGAACCCACAAAGAGCGATTCTGTCTTTTATACTTTTGTGTTATGGGTGGAAACAAAATCTAATTATCATGCATCTCTGAACACGGCAGTCGTTTGCCTGACAGTGTGTGAATGCATCTGAAGGTCGTGCTTCACCTGAACTTTTAAATGACAATTTCTTTAAATATCAACTGATGATATTTTTGCAAATGATACGATATACGAATGTAACAACAAAAAGACTACGGACGCCCATTATAACAATCAAAATAAATGCATTCAAATTGCATTTTTATGTCATACATGAAATTATAAAATTAATAATACTAAATAATAATTCTTTTATTTTGAAATTTATACATCCCAAATACATAACAACAGCTCATGTTTATTCAAGGACAATGTGATGGTGAAGGAGGCTTTCAGTCTATTCATGAACTATTTCAATATTATAAAGAGTATAGTCTGGACCTGCTCTATTTGAAAAGTGCCTTGAGAGAACTTCTGTTGTGTTTTGGCGCTATATAAATATTGACTTGACTCACTATTTTGATTCCAAAAGCAGATGAACAACCACAATAAATATTATAGCTCTAGCTACAAATAATTTTATGTTGATTTGCCAAGAAATTGTGGTAATTGAGGAGCAGCTTTCTACAACATCTCATTCAACACTTCCTTAAGATTTTTCAAATTAATAGTCTTCCAGCCTTCCCCTTTTTTTTAGAGGGGACACCAATCCAGAAAAACCCAAAAGAGGAGAAGCTGGTGAATGAACACTGTTCTGTTAAAAAGCCTGTGTTGTTGTTCTGATGGAATCTAGATATGATAGAAGGAAAGGAACGATAGACAGAACGATAGATAGAACGATAGAACGATAGAACGATCGATAGATAGATAGATAGATAGATAGATAGATAGATAGATAGATGCTCAGTCTGAATCCTGCAGTGATTTCCATCTTGTTGCTATGAGCACCAGCAGCAGCAGCAGCCGGCCGGACATGACAGCCAACAGCCTCCCAACCCCCCTCCATCCATCTTTTTCATCATCCCTCTCTCTCCCCCATCACCATCTGCCCCCTATCTTTCTCTTCCACCTCCTCTTCCTCCTCTCTCATTTGTCATCCATTCTTCTGCCACTGCACATCATCATCGTTTCTTTGGGTTTTTTTTTTTCTTTAATTCTTCTAATTGAATCATTTCATCTGTTTTGGTCTAAAATTTCCAACAGTGCCTCCCTCTGTTCTCACTGTTCACCCCTCCTCCACCCTCCTGTGCAGGGATAGAATTGAACAGACTGGGTATACTGGTAAATTTAATAATTCAACACATCTATCAGAGCTGACTCACTGTTCACAGGTCAAAAAACAATAAAGCTTAAAGTTCTGCACAGACAACTCTAGCAACTATTTGCCTCTAATGTCCCTCATCAGAAACATTTCATTATATAATGCACTTTTTATAATATGTGGTTTTAAGTAATGAAATTGATATTTGCCTCATAAATCCAGAACTTGTCTGGTTCTGTTCTTCCCTTTCAGGCCTGTGGGACTTTAAAGTGAGGAAGTTTAGATGTTGTATACATCTGTGAGTTACAGCACTTCAGCCACAGGGGGACTGTTTCCTTCTGAGGTTGGTTAATTTGAGTCATTTCAGCGGCCAGAAGTGGTGAAACGTTTCATAGTTAAAAGGCACAGTAGATATAAGAATAAAAAAGGTTTTTGCGCGCATGGCGCAAGTGCGTTTAGGGCGTGTCCGTATCACTTTTGCTATTTAAAAGCCTGGTGCGCTTGCACCTTGGCATATTGCTATTATAAAGGTGCAGTGTTTCACACAGTTAGTGCTGCTTGCAGCTCTGCAGTGAAGTAACAGCACAAACCACAACGTTAGAAATATTTTGTTATATGATGAGAAGTGCGAATAGATCTTCGGTTCGTTATGAAACTGTGGTGGACAAATTTAGGCGATGAACAAGAACCACTGTGGCGGATTTACCAGGTACTAAGAAAGAAGCTTCTCTGCAGAGCCTCCTGCAAGACACATCCAAGACACATGACAACGTTATACTACACACAACATGTCACGAAGTAGCTCCGACCTTCTGAGGCTGTATTGTGATGTTCCACATGACTTATCCCAACATCAAAGAGCATTTTCAGCTCACTCTGCTTGTGCGTAACAGGCAGAGTGTATGCGCTCTGTGCGCCCCTGTATGTTGGCACATACTACTCTCTTGACAATGCAAGATATAACGATGAATTCTGAGAATGATTTTACGCAACATTTGATATTTATCTGATGTTACTGAATCATCAAGAATCAAATCAAATCAAAGTGATCGATTCGATTCTGGGCTTTGAATCAAAATCAAATTCAATCAGGTGATCAATGCCGACATCCAGCCCTCATCAGGGAACCCTATTTTATTGCGTAAATGAAGAAATTGTTTTTAAAAAAAAAAGACGCGGTGAGTAACAGCGTCTGTTTTGCTTCAGTGGGTCAGAGGTGTGAGGAGGAGGAGGAGTAGCAGTGGAGGAGGAAGTCAGGCATGTTGGGGTGTGGCTCCACAGACCTCTAATTGTCCCAACGGTCGCTGAGAGAAACCAATAATTCTACCCACTGCTCCAGGTGAAACAGGCAATGTACCGCACGCACACACACACACACACACACACACACACACACACACACACACACACACACACACACACACACAAGTCAATTACAGAGTGGCTGTGACCCACAGCCCTAGAATCATCGCGGCAGTGACTGATTGTTTCCTCGGTTAATGTTGTCATTGTGACAGCGAGTCGCCTCGACAGGAAGCTGGCCTACATCCAGCACTGTGGACTGACACACACACACACATACACAAATACACACACCTTAAAGATGTAGGTTCACTGAAATAGAACACACAGGATTCATGAAACCCAGCAGCTCTCCACAAAAGGTTACTAGTGAGATAAATACTGAACAGAAAACAAACTGAGCCGCCTGTCAAGGCTCCCTGCTTCATTTAATCAATCCGGGAAGTGACCTCTATCGATGTGCCAGTCCAGTGATCAGGAAGACAGCCACCTCTGATCATCGGTCAATAATGGGAAAGTACAAATCAATAGAAAATGTGCAAACTGCTTCACAACAATGACAACACAGAACACTGAGACGTCCTGAAGCTTCTGTGACTGAGTACAACAAATCACATAAAACATCTGATCATTCATCTGATCACTCATCTGATCGTTCATCTGATCATTCATCTGATCACTCATCTGATCATTCATCTGATCATTCATCTGATCATTCATCTGATCATTCATCTGATCACTCATCTGATCATTCATCTGATCACTCATCTGATCACTCATCTGATCACTCATCTGATCACTCATCTGATCATTCATCTGCGTGTTCAGATCTAAATCCAACTACATCCTGAAGAGGCTTCTCAGAGATGATACTTTGATTCAAGATCTGCATCATTTCCTGTTTCTGATTGACCTAAAATGACCAGTCAGTTCTGTGACATTGGTGTTAGTAAGTAAATTACTTCACTTATGTCAATATAACAGTATAAATATATAAAATACAACTTTAAGGGATAAAATGGACCCAAACAGTTTTTTTTATACAGTCAAAATCTAACAAAAGACTCCACAACACAGTGACACTCCAACGTTTTTAGACAAGTATGGAAGATGAAAACTGACTCATGACCACCAAAGGTGCATGGACGGGTAGTTCAGGGTTTAGCCCCAAAAAATCTTGACACGAAATATAAGCTACAATGTGAAAAAAAACTATAGACTATACACTATACACATCCCATGATTGAACCGGAGCAAGGAGGAGAAAAATCATCTCCTCTCTGTCAGTATCCTGATATATATTTTCTTCCATCACCTCCATCACTTAAATCAGGTCTGAGTTCATGTAATATGAAGCCAAAAACTGCAGTTCCTCAAATGACCACTAGAGTCTGGCTCCACACGTGAGCCAATCCCCACAGACTCCCATGTTAAATGTCCAACTTTACAGCAGAAATAAACATGTTTACAGCCTGGTACAAAAACAGTTTTGGTCTCTATAAATACTGACGACTGTACGGGGGGTGAATTTTTCTACAACTCACCTGTTTAAATGTTTTTAAGGCTTAAAGTTATGCAGAATTGAGGACATGGCAGCTTTGAGTGACAGGTGGGTGAGTGTATGCTTGCCACAAAGTCTCAGCTCCACAAACGCTCCACCTCTTTGCCCATTTTTGGATTAGCTGGGAGTTAGGCGGAGTCAGGCACTGCCAAGATGGCGACAGTGGAGCAGCAGGTGACATCACAGTCTATGATCATGAAATGATTCTTATGTCAGTGAGGACGTAACCCAAGAAATCATAGCCAATCAAGCCAACAATGAAAATGTGATGAAAAACAAATCCAGTCCTTGCCCAACAGCCGATCACCATAGATCCACAATCTGTAAACAGCTGTCCATCATACACGTACACACACACACACACACACACACACAAAGACACAAAAACACAAACACGTTACCATCCTACCTCTGCTGTTGGTTGCCAGGTCTGCCACTTTCTGAAAGGCGTCCAAGAAGGCTGCTACCGCCACAACCGTCGTCCTGGGAAACACAACAGAGAAACGTTTGGCTTCCAGGGAGACGTGTAGTTTTTGGTCCATTGTTTGGTTGCAGGATGCTGTCATATTCTGTATCTTGAAGTGTCCTGACGTCACATACGATTTCAATGTCTGGTTTAACTCCATCAATTTCATTTGAACAAATGATATTGAACTTTTGGAGTATTCCCTGTTTCTACCACAGTTTCTCTTATGGCCGTGTCAGTGTTAATTTGGTATGACTGGGCCATCACTATTTGATTCTTGATTATCTTGTGTCGTACAGTGCGCTTCGAAAACTCAACCTCTTTGGTGCACTGAAGGATGCTCCAGCATGAGATATTGAAGAGTTGCAGCTTACAGTTCAAACTAGAGGGCAATAAACTAATTAAGTCATTTTGGTTGTTGCAGTTCTTTGCAGCTCAGCAGTTGATTCAAATTTTGAAGGTTTCCCAAAAGGACTTTAATGAACGCCAGGTGATAAACTGAATTACATTTTCAAGTGAATTTCAAGTTCATTTTCACAGTAAAAGAACCTGAACTGGCAGCAATGGTTTCCTAAGGGTATGAAATGCTTTGGCAGTAATGTAAAGTATATAAAGGTTTGTACCAAATGAGCTAAAAACCTGAAAACCAAAGGTGGGTCCTTTAATCCCATGTACGTCAGCGGTGCCTGAAATTGCCCCCTGAGGACGAAAAAAGTGTTCTGCATTGAGATTAACTGAATTGAACTGAAATGCCAAAACACCCAGGCAAACACCGTGAGTAGACGCAGGGTAAGGAAGAGGAGCGGAGATGCAGTCAGAATGTTTGCAATCAGCTTTGACCTCTAGTGACCCCTGGCCCAGCGCAGAATCTCTGGAGGCTGCAACTGATCCATCTCACTGATAATGACTTTATGGTGGCATCATTAATCTCTGCCAGCCACAGAAGGTTAATTGAGTTGTGCTCCTGTGTGTGTGTCTGTGTGTGTGTGTGTGTGTGTGTGTGTGTGGGCGTTGTTGGGTGGGGTGGTTAATGGCTGGAAGAGGTGTGATGTGTGGATGTATTTCCTGTGATGCAGTGAGGTTCAAGTGTATGTTTGCAGTTTGTACGTGCACACTTTTCTTTATGTGTATGTGCTTGTGCATGTAAATCACCTTCAGAGGTATGTGTGTGTGTGTGTGTGTGTGTGTGTGCGCATGCAGACCCAGTGAACCATAGAGTCGGGGACGAGGTGACAGAGCAGGAGAGGTGAGCCTGACATTTAAACACTTAATGAAGCGGACTGATTGGATTTTCATGAGCTCAGTTTGTACACAGTCTCAACATGTGCGTGTCTTTACATACCACCAGCACACACACATTTACCTTTTAACGTGTTGCTTACTGGAACGGCGAACAAGTAAAAACATCAGAGGTGGAGTTTAACCTCAATGAGAGAAATGAAATAATGAACCGGAATCATCATCAGCAGGTTTATAGAGAGTTGTTTTGTAGTTAGTTGTTTGACTTAACCGTTTCATTGCTGCAAATACAATGAATCTAACATTAGACTTTTAGTAATACAGTACTAGCATTCCCCACTGAAGCTTCGTTGGTGTTGTAACTTAGAAAAACACTGAGAGATACAAGGTGTGTTTTGTTGGTAAATGTGTTTGTTTTTGCTCTTGTTTTACCTGTTTGAAGTGTTTTAAAATGTGTCACATGTTGTGAAGAGCCACACGAAACCTGTGTGTGTGTGTGTGTGTGTGTGTGTGTGCGTGCGTGTGTGTGTGTGTGTGTTACCTGAGCTGAGACTGTAGTTTGCTGGCCTTGCTGATGAAGTCGTCCCAGACAGGGTAACTGCCCTGAACAGAGAAAGAAGAAAAACAAAACAAAACATATTTGAATTACAACATCAGTGCATTTTCCTTTATAGCAGCAATGTTGTGTATTATGTACAATGTATGGTAAACTGTTTGTGAGCTCCGCAGCTAGAAAACACAGGCTACTGTCAAATCCCAGAACCAATTTTTTAAAGGAACATCTATAGACCTCACTGTCTAGAAACTGATGGTGCCATTATTTTATGTTTAAGGTCACATGTTGGACAAATTAAGGACGCTGTTATCTTATCTTATCGGGCGGTAACTACATCAGAGCTCAATTGATTAGTCAATTAATCAATTAGTCAGACAAAACAAGCAACGTGAAGATGTAACCTGGAGTCTGGAGAAAAACCAGAAAACACACCAATAAACTCCTCTCCGTGTAAAGTTTGCCCATGTGCGCCTCCTCGGCCAAAACGCATAAATCCCGAGCATCAGACAGAAAACACAGAGACGGATCAATATCGCAGATCCATACACCCCCAGCCACCCCAGCCTGTCTAGAGGAGGCCAAACAGGCGCCCCCCCAAGGCATGCAAATACAGTTTGGGTCCACTGACTGGGTTCAATATGAGACAGATGCAAAAACTGAGACGCCACACGCTGCAGTGCGGTACTGCTGGATCATGTGTGTTCACGGAGGGAAACACTGAGCCTCTGCAGCCAAACACACAAAGACACAAGAAACTGGGGTATGCTTCTAATGTCAGCGGGAGTCCCTTGGTGTTTTCAGGAAGGGTGGGACTTTCGGGCCTTTTTTTTTTTTTTTTTTTTTTTTTTTTTTTTTGCTGCAGTGAAAGATCTGAGGCAGCAGTGGATTCTGTAGTCTAGACTCAGAACTGTGTCACCAGTTTACACCCATTTCTGAAAATACCACAAAAATCCTACAATTAAAATATACCTCTCCCTCACACAGCCACTTCTGTACAGATTTTATACTGAAAATAAACAAGTGCATCACCAGGAAACTACAGCCACTGAGTTAAATCAACATCTCTAACATCTCCCTCTCTCTATCATATATTGTTTTGTTGTAGTTTATCTTCATGTGTAGTTACAAAATTGAAAGGTGATATAAACATAAATAAAGGCTAATTACTTATAATCATCACAAAAGTGTAACCATGTATGGCTGAAAGTATGGGAACAGCCCTGTACTGTTTTTCCGGGGCTGATTTTCGAGGTTTAGACGAGGTCCCTTACACCTTGTCAACACCACACGGGTGTTTTGTCTGGAATCAGTGATGCTGCACATGCAAACTGGAAGACACCAGAGATGAAACATGAAAACAAAGCTCAGGCTGCACAATCTGAAAAGGACATTGAACCATGCTGATTACAGTCATGATTCTGCATCATCTGAATAAAAAATCTTCGGTGTCATATCATCAGAATTAGTGCAGGGTTCCCACTCTTCTCTTGAGATCATTCTCCGGGACATTTTCAGTGATGAGCCAGCTCATATGACGGACAGGAATCACACCATGCAACAATATGTTCCTATCTGTGGAAGTCTGATTTAAAATAAGTGCAGTCTATACTGATCAATGAAATCATCTCTTACATGCACATTAACACAATTAATTATGATTTTATGAGAAATTGATCCCAGGAGCTTTGTCACATAGCACTTGTTTATTGTCATCATCAATCATTTTTAACCTGACTCACTTTTTTCTTATGAATTACATTAACCATTGCTGCCAACACTAATAACACAAATAGTAGCCTCTAACTTTCTGTACTGATTTCAGTGAATTTATCCCTCTGACTGTTGAGACATCACGGCTTTAGCTGAATTTAAGAATGGATTATTGGACAGGATGAGGGCTGTGGATCTCTTTACAGCCAAAAGCTCTCATCATACACATGGCATATGATATTATATTACAATACACTTTAACCTCCCTCTGCTCCTGCAGGAAGCTGACACACCTTCACTCCTCCACTGCACTTTGTGGGCGTTGCCTCTTTTTTTTTTTTTGTCTTGGCGTCACCATCGTTCCTCTCTACCAGTGCAGCTGGGTGTGTTCAGCCTCGTTCTGTTTGTGAGAGTGATGCCCAGCGTCATCACCTAGCTACCATTGCTATGGTAACGCTGCTGCTGCTGCTGCAGAGAGGCTTCAGACAGAGAAGGATTTGCGAGGAGGGGAGGGTCACACGTGCATGCATCCTCACCCAAACACACACACACTTTTGTGTGTCATACATTTGCTTTCTTTGTTTCTCTCAGTGTCTCTTTCATATTCAATGCACACATCTTTTTTTCTTCTTCTTGGTACACACACACACACACACACACACACACACACACACACACACACACACACACACACACTTTCCATTTTTCTCATACACTCATGTCATTTTATCTTCCTGCTCTTTATTTCTCATCAGTCATGTGCCCTCTGTTATACTGTATACATATACCCACATCTCATTACATCCTCTCTCTCTCTCTCTCTCTTTCTCTCTCTCTCGGACACACACATACCGAGGCGAGGGCAGGGCCACTGCATCTATCAGTCATTGAGGACATAAATTGTCACCGTGGCAACAACCGGAGGCAGCAGCAGCAGCCTGCCGGTCCTTCAGGAATGCACCGCTCTGTTTATTTGGCTCTGTGAACGACTGCAAAGGCTTTACAAGGAGAAACCCTTGTTTGTTTCTTCCTTATCACTGATCTGATGAGACAACGGCACAATCTGATTCCTCACACTGCAGCAGAGCTGTGTTTTAATGTGGTGTTAAAGATAATTAAAAAAGAAAAGCCTGAGGAACTCAGCGTCCATTTTTTTTTTTATGTCTTCTGTGGTCAGGAATAGCTTCTCACTTCTCACTAAGGGTCCTCAGGTGGACTTGAAGTAGGGCCAGCTAGGCCACCAGGACACACTAACGATGTCCATCTTTGTGGCTTAACATTGTAGGAATATCCTGCAGCTACTGCAGATGAAGGGAAACTGCAGGGTGGGTTCAGCAGCAGTGGAACCAGATAATTTCAATCTTAAAGGAACAGCTTGACAATATGGGAAATATCACAAATATATATATATACACATATATATATATATATATACACATACATATATACACACATATAAAATATATACTAATATCACTATTGTGTCAGTGCAATAAATATGTAGCTTAGCAAAAAGACTGGACAGACAGAGAAACAGCTCATATTTTATCTCTTTTGTTTAATCCACACAAGACGACAGGTTCTGATTTGACAGGGGTTTATTTGCCGGACTATTTCTTGGCCATGCAACCAGAGGAGAGTCCAGAATCCTAAGAAATAGCCCCACATATAACACCCCAGGATTTTGGTACCTTTGAATAGAGCCATGGTAGCAACTGGCTGCTATCTGTAGCTTCAGATTTACTTATCAATCCTCTCATCTAACTCTTAGAAAGCAAACCAGCGTATTTTCCTTTAAAAATATAAGGGCTTTAAGTTAATATTAATTAGCCTGCTAATGTATTAATGTATAAAAGACAAGACTGATGAAGCAGAATCTACATCTATACAACTAAATTATCACATATTGACAACATCTATCTATGAATTTTTTACATGTTCAAAGTTGGAGCCTTTCATTGATTGGTCAGTTCATATCTATTTAACAAAATATAATTTTAAAAAGAGATCAGATTGCTGTATCATTTTTAAAAAATGTTATATATTAAAAACTCAATTTAGCAGTAGGAAACAAAGATTTAATGTCTTGTCTGTGGATCAGAGTCCTGGCTCACCTAACAAGCCGACCCATTAAACCTTAAGAACCAGAATGAGGGAGAAAGAATTTGTTGGATTTGACAAATCAGAACTTTTGTGTGATAATAAATTTCCCTCAAACATTTAAATGAGTGACGGGTTGTTCCATTGTTAAAGTAGCGCCTTTGCACATATGGGCCAACCCCAGTAATGTGTTGAATAATTGAGCTCGACAAAATCGACAACACCACCTTTTAAAAGCCAGAGCTTCAGCTGACGTCAGAAAATAAACACATGAAAGCAGGAAAAGATCCGCCTCCATTTAAATCCACAGGAAACAAAACCTAAGTGACCCATTTGGCCGGGCTACCACTGCAGCAGCAGCTCTGTCCGTGATGTTTCCATGACGATCTCAATACTGATACACCACTTATAACAGCAGACCCCCCCCCCCCCCCCCGCCCCAAATGGTGATTAGCATTCAGGCTAATACAAGTCCAGTGGTATACTTTATAGGCCACACACACACACACACACACACACACACACACACACAACACCAACACACCGTCCACACACAACACACAAATCGACTTACACACACACACACACCACAATTGAATAAATGCATTGCGTACAAGCTTAACTTCATACCTGAAACCAAGTCTTAACCCTCAGAAAGCTCTTTGAGGTTACGAGGACCGGCCATAATGTTCTCACAAGCATAGAAAAACATATACACACAGAAACACACAAAGGTCTGGCTGTGTGGTAGCAATCACAGGGTCAAAAGTTCAATTCTTCACAGATATTAAACACGTATTAAAGTGTTTTTAAACACAAATATTAACTTTTTTAAAAAAGATTTATGGAATGGATTTAATGTTTTCATGTTATATATATCATCTACGTATGATGCAACTTTTAGTTAGTTGCAGCCTTAAATCTAACCTACATGAAATCAGAGCACCCAGAGGAAACCTATAGGCTATGGATTACTTTTATCCATATTAATAAGTCTTTGATTCTGACAATGAATTAAAATATAATGTACCAAGAATGATCACTTATGTCTGCAGCTCTAAGTTGCTTTTAGCCTCTTTTAGCTCACAGTTTTGGTTCTTAAAACACAGGCGGCCATTTTCACTGCTAAACAAGCTCTAGCAAAACCAAACGGCAGATAGACACACTCAGATATTTCCCTCAGGAGTTGGTAGAGACCAAACCAGAGCTAAAAGGAGGCGGGATATTAGAGTTAAAT